GTTTAACACAAAATAATATTTTTATATTACCTTGTTAAAAACATTATGTGATCAATAAATTATTTCTATAATTCAAACAGATAGAATTCTTCTTTTATATATGCGAACCGAATCTTTCGTGCTTACTTGAAAAAGGAAAAAAAGAAAAACGGTAGCAGGAAGGTATTAAGAGATATTCAAAACATACAGATGCAAAGAGAATCTAGTAGATTCTACTTGTCCGACGTAGATCCTCTTTGTATTTATGATAAAAATCATTTGCAACATCCGTGTTATTCCAGTCCCGTATTAGTCTCGGATTCGCATGAGTCATATAATCTTATATGGATTGTCCTTTATCTATAGATTGTTTTTCAGATAATATACATATAATAAGGAACAGATATAACTTGATTTTTTGGTAATAATGAGATAAAGTATAAAAATAATACTAAAATATAAATAATAATAATAAAAATAAAAATTTGTTTTTTGTAAGAAATAAAGATAATGTATTCATCAAATTTATATTATTTATTATTTCATATTACATATTACATTAATTATTGAAATAAATATAATATAAATAAAATAAAGAATATATCTAACCTGTATGTATATTATTAATCTAATTGAAATATTGTTTAGTTATATAATAATGGGATATTTTAGAAATATTGTTTAACTATTTGATATATTTAGGAAAATATCCTGAATAATTTATGTTTTATAAACCTTTAGTATAATTATAAAAAATATTTTTAGTTGAATTCTCGCTAATCTTTATATGCAGAATTCATGTGATAAAATTTAAATCTGTAACTATGAAAAATTGATATTTTATAATTAATGCTTATAATTAAATAAAAATTAAATCTTTAAAAATGAGGTATTAAAATGATATTGATCTATAAATAATCTGACCTTGATTCGAAATTATCGATTATAGAGACCGAATCATATATAGCGTGATATTGATAGCTCTTTGCATGTGACACTTAGTACTTCACGTATATGTTGATGGAAAATGATCCTATTTATGTCAATTATGCTTCTCATATTAGCATAATTGTTTTCTGTAATTATAATCGGGTAAGAAATAATTCTTTTTTGATTGATCCCAACATTTTTCTAATTTCCATGGCGTATTAAAAAAAAAGTAAAATATAATAACTAATAAAAATATATGTCTGCATTTTGTTGGCAAACTTGATTTATTTCGGGATAATCGCTGGTTTCGTTGAGTAAAAGCATAAAAGAACTTATTAAACCATTTATGTAATTTTTTCATCACAGCAATATCTTCCTTTGATATTTTATTTTGTGGTTTAAAGATATAAAAAAAACAGCGCACAGATATATATATATATATATATATCTTATTTTATATATATTCAAAGTAAGTAGTTTCTTTACCAAAGAAAAATATCTCATTAGATAGACAAGTCAATTTAGATAATTGAGTTAAATTGGACTCGTAATGGACATTGTAGAATGTCTTTTCTGTGATAAATTTTAAATTGTAAAATATTGCGTTAGATCTCAACTTTCTGATGTTGAAACTCACGATCATACATATTATAAATCTGGACATGTGCCAGAAGCAGATTATGACCACAGAGATAATCCACAATGCTTGATTGATTCAATGCCGACGCATAATTTGTTGCATAATCAAAGATATAGATATTGATCGGCTTGTTTGAGATTATCCAATATTTGACTTGATGAAAATTAAGAATTAAATATTAATATATTTTTTGAAGAGAATATCAAAACACGCGCAAAAACAATAAGAAAAGAATTTTAATAAACGTTGCAAAAAAGTATTATTTTTTTAAATTATATATGAATTTTTATTTCTAATTCAAGTATGATACTCGCATTATCCAATTATATCTTTTATTCAGTGTAAAAAATATAGAAGTCTGTATAGAAATCACATTTTATTTCTGAGAACAGTTAAAACGATTCTAACATAATCGTCAAAAAAGTTTGATATTACTAGATTAATTCAATCGTTCAATTATTGCAAAATATATGAAAGATCACACAGTATTATAAGTGTGAACCGTATTTTATTCTTATTAATTATATTATTATACAATAGTAACGAATAATAAATATATCTTTTCTTACTTATTTGAAATAAATAAAAGAGGTAAAATTTTTGACTAAAACAATGGGATACATATATATTTCATTGCAGACGAAATGTGTTCCGAATATTTTTGTGACTTTCTTTAAGTACTATGAATAAAGATATATCAAATAGCTTTTATATATACATTGTTGGAAAATTTGTGTTAAATATAACATAAATCGCATGTCCAAAACGGTCTACTAAAATTTTTGTGTTAATTTAACATAATATGGATGTGTTAAATGGTAACACCGATACTATGTTAAAATATTTCAACAGAAAAGAAATGTAATTCTGATCGTAATTTGACGTTAATTATGTGTACAATTAACATAACTTTTATGTTGAAGTTAAGATTGTAAGATAAAATCAACATTCTTTTTCTGTAAATTTTTATTCCCACTTCTGTTATAGAGTAAAATCAACATTCTTTTTCTGTAAATTTTAATACATTTAATAAATACGTTCAAATTGTGTTACTTTAACATATTCTTTAAATTATTTTAATAATTTTACATCTTAAATTTGTTAAGCTCAATTAACATAGCAGGCATATGTTAAATCTACATATGTATGTGTTGATTATTTTACACAAAAATTTTAACAAGAACCTTTTTTAACAAACCTAGAAAAATTTTTCAACAGTGTAAATATAGTTTATTAAATGGAATAAAAATAAAATGATATTTGTTTTAGTCACATAAACGTAGTATTTATTTTTTATTAAATATTAATTATTTTTGCTCTCAGATTTCTTGCCAATTGAATATCCTTCTTATATTTATGATACAGGTCAGTAACTAATGTCGCTACAGCATTGCATTGCTTGATAACCGGATTCACGTACGTCATGTAATCCTAAATAGATTGCCTATAATATAAATTACTGATTACAATTTTAAACAGTAACAGCGGTTTGTGCATTTCCTTCTCAGTAGCATACATATTTTATACATGTGTAATTTAATTATACTAATAAACATATTACTTCCTGATGTTATATATTTTTAATAGATTACAGTCAAAAGTATAATTTAAAATTTTAGCTATTTATGCGTGTATATTAAATTTTAACAATTTTAGATTATAAATTTTAATACAGTATTTGTGAATTTTAAATTTTAGTGTAAAATTTTGAATTTTACAAAAATTTTTTTATATATTTTTTAAATTTAATATTATTTGTGTGCAGCAAATGTTAGGATTTAATGTACCGAATATTAGGACTTATCGAAGTTTATCGAAGGACGTTAAATTTCAATTTAACTTTCATATAGTAACTTTGATATATATTATAGGCAATAAGTACGGTTGAACTTCAACCGCTTAATCTCATATTTGGGAAATATTTGCCTTTCTTTACGCGTCATTACACTCACCTATCACAGTTCAGTAAACGTCTTTTACCGAGCATTTCTCTGTATTGATCCTGGTTGTGATCTTCTGTGAAGGTATAAAAAAAATTTATTGTATTGCATGCTCTTTTCTTTGTTTGAATATTTATAAAATGTTTACATCTCTTCCGTACATTTACGATAGAGATAAATGATTTATAGAAACTTAAGACAGTCATAAAAATGAAATAATTTACTTCTAATAAGAACGTATAATTTATTATTATCTATATTAAGAATACATAAATGTCCTCAAAAGATGTATAAAAAAGCTTTCACATATTCTCAATAATTATATTTAATATTTTTTACCCAGAGATTTACAAAACTTATTTTATTAATTTATCAAGCAATAAATATCAGAGAGGGACACAATGTTGATATCTTTCACGAGGTACAGCGAACCAACGAAGAGCTTTCTTCGATCGTCGACAGTGCCAAGGAGTTTGAATTTTATTTATTCTTTCAATGGTTTTCGGTTTACCGAGAGTGACGTTAAATGACTTCTTTAAAACGGATGATGCGATATATGGATGTATCTATAAAAACCATTAAATATATTAACATTACTAATTAAATATATCAACATTAATTATATATATATATATATTTAACTGACTTTATTTAATCGATATATTTAATCAAACAATTTTTTTAAGTGGTACATTATAATATTTATAATAACAAATAACATATTTTATCTGCGATTTTTACGAAGTTACTTTACGCATCGATATGGTGAAATTATTATAGAAGATAGAATAATGCAGGATGCTCTCTCTCTTCCCTCCCCACCCCCCCTCTCTCTCTCTCTCGAGCCATCTCGTAGTATATAACTGTGCCTCATACATCACCATCTGAAGCATCCGGTATTACTCTCATATGCTGTGAGCACGCAATATCCTGCCATGTTACAACTAAGTAAATACTATCGAATGCTTTTACGAGTTCAAAGATTGAAAAAAAATGTAACCGATTGAAAGCGATCACTCGCTTGTAATTAAAAAATGTTTCGATACAAAATTGAACCATGATATAAGATCCATCAGGAAAATATATATGTGCAGGAAATTATATAATTGTGCGCATATCGTATTGATGACGTCCATTTAAAAGCGTATTGCATAATTTTTGCTATTATTTGTTAAGTAATTTTTTGATCATCTAATATTCTAAGTAACTTAATACAATTTTTATTTGTTACAAAATTTTTACTGCACGTACGTGTAATTGAATAAAATAAAATTTCATGAATTATAGTTTATAAAATATATCATCAATTCCTCATAAATTGAAAGAATCTTACGTGATAATGCAGTGGCCCTGGTCCTTTGACGTCTTTCTTTTTTTCACGAGGAGCTGAATATATCACGCCATTCTTCACGTTCTTTGATATATCTCTTCTGAGATCGTAGTGTGCTGGACCTGTGCACGCATACCAATAATGAAAAAGTCTTCCTAGACGATCTCTTTTGACATTTACTTCACTTTATACCTGGTACACGGAAATCGTCTTCTGGTATTATCGGAAACCGGCTGGCGCGTGAACCGAAGGGTGGAGTTAATCGTCGACAAAGGAAATCACATCTATCACGATTAGCTTTGAAGGCTGATAAAACTTCGTAAGCACCTGAATCCGGTACATCATCCTATGAAAATTGAACGATAAATGATCGGAATGAATACTGACATACCACTTCATCTTATTTTAAATATTATGATTGCGAGATAAAATTCATATCGCAAGTATTCGTATTTTTATATTCTGAGACATATTGCTGATAAAATTAAGTGATTCGAAGAGAGTAAGAGGGAGAGATTTCGCCTTTCTCTTCTTTATAATTTAATCATTTAGGATGGATGCCGATTCGGGCGCAAACCTAAGCGCCGATGTTTCCGGCCATCCACAATTCGCACTACAGAGACAGAGACACCAAGCAGGGATTGGCTCGAATTTCCGGCTCAATGATCCGGAAGTGATTTCTCCGGGCAACATCGGCCACGGGCCTCTACGTGGAAATGACCTGCAGAGCGCAGCAAAATGTCATTTCCGGCGTACATGGTCACCATTCTTCCCTACGTTATGTAAATACGGCTTCCTCGAATCGGGACGTTATTCCCAATGATTTGTCGTCAACGAGAAAATATTCAACGAAAAGAAGGATATTGACTGTCAGCCATCACAAAGTAATATGATAGTTCAGCAAAAAGAAACTGTGACAGCTAATAAATAACGTTAATTTATCAATCAACGTCGTGCACCGGCATCACCTACAAATTTCACTGATAATTTTGCAAGGTGTTTAGATTGTTTAAGTGCGCCAGCTAATCTAAACTACACGAACTCGTGGAATACGGCGGAATCAGCAGCAAGTCGCTTGGCACTGACGACTCTATCCTGACCTATCTACGGGCTGCGGCATCGAATCTCGTTCCGACGCTCTCGATTAACGGCCAGATTGGATCCTAGCCCCGAATCGCCCCGGGTACAGATGCATCGGTTCGATCCGCTGCCATTAATTTCGTCTCCAGCTCTCCTGATTACCTTGCGTTTCCCGGATTACTCGGCTCCATCGAGCCCATAGATCCCGAGCAAGCCGAAAGAATCTTCGGAGGTTCAGTCTGACCACAGACTTATTGTGACTACTGGCTCGAGTTTCTCGCGCGTCTTAATCTTTATCCTCGTAACGTTGCTGGAGCGGCTTGGATTGCCTTATTTACAGCAGCGATTACAAATTGGTTAATTTGATAAATATAAAAAATATATAAAAATATATTTATTATTATGTAATATTCTAAATATAACTTTCACTTTTTCAAAACACAAGATTCGAAGTCTTGAAGTCAATTTAAAAAAATATAATTTATTTATTGCATGTATTATAATTAATTTTATTGTTACTTAAACAAAGCTTAATAATGCAAATTACTGTTAATTATGTATTATTTCGTACGCTTTTTATAATTTTTATAATTATTCCTATATATATAAAAGAGATTGTCTTATTAAAAATAATTTATATTGATTGGAATATATCCTTATGGAAAATTATTACGATGAATGAAATATATTGATTTATAAATAAATGTATAATGATGTATGTATCATGTTTTTGTAGCGGTGCTGACATCTCTTAGCGTATTGAGTTGATCGCAGGTATTTCCATTCCAGAATACCGATAAAGTGAATATAAAATTAGCATTGCATATAAGATTGAAATAAGTTTCTGTTCGTCAAAGTATTAATTAAGCGTACGAAAGAATTACTCCAATTGCATTAATCGAATTAAAATAAATAATATGCTACATTTATGCATGCATACAAAATTCTTGTATAATACTCACATGTTTGCGAATTTTGGGAAATCTATCCACTCTTGATTTGAAGACTGCATGATATGCCGGACATTTTTCTTCGTCTACTTCCTTTACTACTTTATATTCATCGATTACCGTGAATTCATCATCGTCGCCTATCAATGTTAATGTTTTGCAAAGTTTTGGGTAATCAAACATTTTTTGACATTTATTTTTAAAACGTTTTGCGGATTCAAAAGCCAAAGTTCCGACCTCCGTATAGTAATCTGCAGGACCTGCAATGTAAATTTATGCAGTTTTAATACAAATTTGTACATAATGTGCACATATCACGTACAAAAACTTAGTTACATAACATATAGATACCTGGTATCACATCAATAGTTCTCTTGAAACGATCGTCGAAAGCGCCAAAAGGTGCACGAAGAATAGAACCGTAACAAATTTGCGGGATCGTGATTTCATACGTTACAGGCCCGCGTGTATCTAATTGAAAATTCTCTTCGAATCTCTTAAAAGAAGAAGAATAAATCATAATTGTGCGTATAACAATTGACACAAATATGTAGAGACATACCTTCGCGGTATGATTGAACGGCGGCAGTTCTACCGTAAGAGGGTCACATTTACACGGAACACGTTTGCGCTTATCCGAGCGCCTATCGAACACGCCTTTAGGCAGGTCGTAATGATTGGGAGCTGGAAAGTTCTTTGTGGGAAAAGCAAATTTCCATAAGGCGATTCACAGATACAAAGGCAGTTTCCCGGCTCTCTCGGAGTTTCTCGGCGAAAGACCCGGCGACTCCGAAAGTTACAAAGTATGTTCTTAAAATTACTTGGCGTAATTTTTGCTGGTACAAAGCTTCCAAGAAACGCGGCTGCTTAGCGGCGGCTCTTTTCGCTTCCCTAGTTCTCTCGTTGCGGATTTGGGCGGGACTTTTCTTTGTTTCGTGCTCGTAGTCTCCGGGACCCGGGGTCACGGAAGTCCGTTTGTCATCTCTACCCTTCATTCTGCTCCAAAAGTTTCCTTTGTACCTCAGAGCGGTAAAGTTTGTCTCCTACGGTATAAATAATCGTTCGTGAGATATTTTACAAATGAGAACTATGAGAACGGCATCTTGTACATACCCCTCGGGGAATATTGTAGAAGTCGGTTGGCTTATGCTCGATGACCGAATTTTTTACAAGTACACCTCGTTCATCGTAGTCGTATCCGCCGACGTCACGTTTCGAAGGAACGGAAAGGCCTGTCGTAAGCGGTCGCGGAGGACGAATCAGCCATAGCTAACAGATTGTTATGTTAAATATGTTATTATAATTGAAATCAGAAATATTTTATTGCACATTGAAATTAAATATCTGATCGTCAAAAAGATATATGTATTTTTTTAAGCGATAATAATTAACGACTTATTTTTGTAATATTATACAGCAGTTTATTTTATTTTTAATTTAATTTAAAATTTAAATTTAAATTTTATGTAATTTGATGCAACTACACAAACAAGTTACACAAACACGTTAAAATAGATTTAAAAAACGTTAGCACAAGTATATTTACAGAAAATTAGTATGGAAGTACACAAATCAAGAAAATACTTTACCTTGCCTGCGGAACCGTGCCAAGTGCCCGGATAGGATCTTATTTTTCGAGGCGTTTCCTTAACGCTCGACAAGATATACTCTGTTGGACCCGGTTCCTCACACACCTTTTCTTTAAATCTAACATCGGTGTAATCGAGACTAACGCTGCCCTGTAAATCATTGAGAATCTCAGAAAGGATATCGAATATCCGGCGTGTACGACGATGCGGAAGAATTGCAAATAAATGAGGCATGAATAGGAGAAAATGCACGTTCTGGTATACGTTTCCGCGGCGCCTCTATATTGTAAGAGCCAGGACCCGGGAACTTATGCGCGTCTTTTGGTATGCCGAGTGTCTGCCTGCCGGCTCCGCTCAAAAATGGATAAGCGTTGTCTGTGGAACGTACTCTGTGTAACGTAATGGCATACGCGACGCGTGCGAATGCAAGTTTCTGCACAGAAAGAAGAATTCGCGGACGTTGCGTATCGCGAGTTACCCGGATCTCGTGCTGGCTTTGATGGTTCCGATACGTCGTAAGTCCCCGGGCCCACTTGAGCGGGAGTCGACGTGGCTACTTCCGCGAATCTTTTCGTTCTGTCAAACGCCATGCGTCGGCTTTCGTTTGTACGATCGAGAAAGGAGAATGTTTAAAGCATACGCGATTTTATAACCTGAACGGATGTAAATTCATATTTGAGAGCATGTCGCGATTGAAAAATATAAATTGTAAAACAACGTATAATCAAATAGTTTTTATTTGTTTGATTCTTTTCTTTTAATTGTCCACTAAAAGTTATAGCGCAATAATATCTTTTGTCGCGTTTTTGCATCTACAAAGATATTTCGATCTTTTACATCTGCAATCTCATACGTAATTAGAGAGGAAAATGCTGTTTATTTTACAAAAACAACCACAATGTAATATTTAGCAACGACAAAGGATTAATTTGGAACGTTTCGCCGTATATTTTAAATGTACTCGAGAAAAAAAGAGATGGTAGGAAATGGTATTTTTAAAAGAAACGATTGTGTGCGTTAAAAGAAACGATAAAACTTATGAAAATTTTTTCTATTTTAATCCAATGTGGAACGATTTGAAATAAAGTATAATTCCGACTTCTTTCATAATCCATAATCATTTTAACGATATTAAAATATACATAATAATACATAATACACCGTAATCGTGTATTTGACTAATACTACGTTTACGCAAGCGTTACTTCTGTAGTAACTTACGATAATTCCTTCGCGTAAACGGGATTTTGTAGTAACTTACGACAATTCACTCTGCGTAAACGGGTAAATTATCATAAGTTACTACAGAAGTAACGCTCACATAAACGTAGTAAGGGCCTAAGCAGAATGGCTGTCTCGGCAGTGTTTTATGCCTTAAGTCTTTTGTCTTATGTAACGCACAATACTGTACAGTATTGTACGTACAGTATTGTACCTACTGTACAGTATTGTGCGTTACATAAGACAAAGACTTAAGGCATAAAACATTGCCAAGACAGCCATTCTGCTTAGGCCCTAAGGGCCCGGACACACACTTCTGCATAACGCATAATGCGTAAGCATAAGAAAATTGATTGGTCCATACACATGTGCATAAGGAAATAGACCAATCAGTTTTCTTATGCTTACGTATTATGCGTTATGCAAAAGTGAGTGCTCCCCGCTTAAGGCTGCGTTTCCACTATACGCGTCGCGCGTTGCGTCGTCTGTCGTTAACCAATTTAAACATCCCGTCACAAGTAATGTAATAAAATGGGATGTTTTGATTGGTTAACGACGCGACGCGCGACGCGTATAGTGGAAACGCAGCCTAAAGCTTTGTGTCCACGATGCTAGAACAGCGTTCGAGTTTCGGTTTAAGCCAATTAACTTGCAGCTCTTACAGAAAAGCAGCAGTTTCATTGGCTTAAACCGAAACTCGGACGCAGTTCGAGCATCGTGGACAGGGGATGCTGGAGCCGTCTGTTTTACCGGCATTTTTTGTCGGCACGTAGCGTCGTATTAATTTGACAGAATTAAAAATCCTTCTCCAGAATTGCAGTACATACATTCATGATTCGAGGGAACTCCGATTTTATATAGAAAACGAGAAAAAATTACGGAAGTATAGATTTCCTTATCCTACTTTTATCCCAATATGGCGTCTCGAGTTGCGGCGAGCTGTCAACTCGTCACAAGATGTATTTCATATAAGAGATATATATACCATTGGTACGAACGCGAAAATAAGTTCCCCCGAATTGCACAACAAGAAAAACATCGATAAACCCTCCAAATCAAGATTTGGAAGCGTAATATATGTGCGTGCAATGTAGCGTGCTATCCTTGTCTATATCTTTGTCTATACAAGGACAGATATAGTCGATAACATAGAAAATGGTAATTTTGTCGGTTATACAAACGGCTCCAGCATCACTTTAAGGGGATCCTGCAGTGACTGGCGAACTTCCTCGATGTCGATAATGTCAACTTTTCTAATTTTGTTTTCCCTTTATCTGTCTTTGTCTAACGAAATGACATCTGTCCTTTTTTCGATTGCTCGCCATCTCTCGCAAGATCCGGCAACTACTATTGCTGCTCTTTTTGTCATTTGCATCCGTATTTGCATTACTAAAATAATTTTTTGATGACAGTGCCATACTAGAGTCAAGCTCAACAGGGTCTTCTTTCCCCGCTAATTTTTCCAAGCCCGTTCCCTTGGCAGTGGTTTCGCTAGATAGTAGATAGGGACAGTGGGAATCTCGTTAATCCATTCATGCGCGTCACTAATTAGATGACGAGGCATTTGGCTATTTGCATCACGTCTTTCGGCGCGTCTTACCGCTTAGTGTCAGTACGGTACCTGGTAACAACGGGCCCTGGCTAAACAATCCTGCAGGAATGAATTGGATCGCCCTTCTGCGCAACAGGTTACCCAAACAATAACTTTCGACCCCGAGTCCAATCTACTTCGCCCTATCCAGCTAACCACAGCCCCTGAGAGACCAACACCTCTTTAGCAGGGCACCGGAGCATAGCTAAAATATCGGGAGTGTAAGGCTCCCAACAGATAAACTCTCCGGTGTGGGCACCCCCGCTGCCCTCAGTACTCGTGTCGAGCGCCTCCCGGCTCACGTGTGACGAGTCGCCGCCGTAAGTGTCCCACGCCCCACTCACTACCATATGTCGCATCCGCTGATCTTTTGATAGGTATTTGGTACATGGTGGCCCAAGATACTTATTCGTTACCCTGACGGGAATGTACCCGATGGCACTGATCACGTTGATCAGCCGAGTGCCCAGGGCGTGCACCCGTATCGCCTGAACCCCGTCTGCTACCCGGCAGGCCGGGTACCCGGTGAGCACCAACTTGGAGGTGGGGCAGACTTGAGGCTGTAAGATCTTACGCCTCCTTGCGAGCGAGCAACTACAACTCCGCAGGGCAGGAAGCGACTGAGGGTGGCAGCCCCCCCACCTTTAAGAGAGTCATAGTTACTACCGTCCGTCGTTTACCCGCGCTTGTTTGAATTTCTCGCAAGATCCAACAACTACTGTTGCTGCTCTTCTTGTCATTCTGCATCCGTATTTGCACTACTAAAATAATTTTTTAATGGATCTTTTTTTGTACGCATTGAATCTTCTACAATATTATTCCTACATGTTTTCCCAAGGGCAGATAAACATTATGTATGTATAAATCGCAGAATTTTTGTTTTAAGCAAATACTGTCAGGTGACAGATGCGTATGTGCCCAAATAAGTAATATTTTTAATTTTTTGGTGTTTTTGATATAAAATCGCGTTTATTACCCTAGATTTTTGTGCGTACTTTAATTCTGTAAAAGATTTTTGCAATTCTATAAAGCCAATTAAAAGATCCATCTATTAACGATAATGTCGGTAAATCATACGGCTGCAAGTATAGCTGAAGGGAAACAGAAGTGCCGTTGCAGTTTCGTCTCGTAATAGCCACTCAATCTCATCCCTTAAGCTGATTACCGCATGATGCTGAGGCAGTTGCGCCATTCTTTCCTGCATCGATTCAGTCTTCGCATTTGCACCCGGACTGCTACCGCTCGGCCGCATGCTACCGAACGTCGAAGCGCTGCAGTAAGACGTCATCCTCAATGCAGGATAACGTTCCAATGACACTTCCAACACTTCTTTTGGAAGGTTCAAACATATGATAACCAAAGTAACTTTCAGATCTTCCAAACTTAATTCAGTAAGATTTCTTTTCTTGCCGTCATTAATCCTTTGGACAATCTCGGTAAAGCAAGTAGGCATCAATTTAACAGGTATACTGGAAAGCTCGGAGCGGAAACGAATCGAAGAGCTCAAATGTAAGAAGAGCGGCTGATCTTTCATGTTCCACGTGTTTTCCTCATCAAAATCGCTGATAAGTGAATCTTTTGAGTTGGAATGGGACAGCTTCTCGTTGTTATAAAGATTTGTGACCGGCCATGTAATATTGACAGCTTGACTTACTTGGTTAGGAGAATCTGTTTTTGAAGCCGGCATTTCAGAGTGACATGTGAATTCATCTAACTCGTCATCGCTATCTGTTCTTTGTGATACCACTTGCTTCCATCTTTTCTGACATCCACGATGGTAAACAGTAATAAAATTCTGGATGCGCGGGTGCAGGCCTAAATACGACTGCCATAATCCTTTTAAATTTAGTTTTTATGAAGACAACTTAGATGCGAGCTTATCTTACTTCTAAACACTGACAAATCGACTCGTCCGAAATCGTCTAACAGAGACAGTGCAAGGGCTAAATTATCGAGCGACACTTCGCCGAATGAAGCGAGTCTCATCAATTACGCCAATACGCTTTCATCGTTATTACCAGTTTCAGTCAGCGCGATAACCGTAGCAACAACTACGTGGTCCAGATCGAGATACGACCGGACGCGGATGATTTATGCTGCTATTACTTTGCATTCACTAATATTGTGATGTTATCAAATAATGTGTCATGAAGAACTTGAGATATGTGATTACATTCAGATAATGACCAACGTACAATTCTCATTTCTCATTTTACATTATTCTGTATTGTTTATAATGTTTCAATAAGATACATTTCTGTTGTACATTGTATATTGGTTGTTATCTGATATAACACTGCTAAATAACATATCTTACTCCAGCTATTCATGAATCATTACTTGATAATATATATATATAATAATTATCATAAATCTCATTTTTCTCAAAGCAGTTTTTAGAAGAATGGTACCTATTGCATTAATATCGGTAAGAGTTCTGTATGCGAGCTCCTCCGATTATAATCTACCTTTGCAGGCACGTAAGTACGTACAAAAAGAAGTCGAAAGCCTCTGTGCCAACTTGCGGAAATAACTATTTTCTTAAATATTTTTATTATTTTGGATTTTTGACTGCAATATTGACCCTCTCTTCGCGTGAAAAGTTGAAAGTCCATGTAAAATTACACAATAGAAGATCTTGTTTTGCTCTGTTAGTAAAGAAAGCGAGGTCCACTCCCTAATTGTTGTGTTTTGAAAGTACAATGCTATCTAAAAACTATCCACGCAAAGTGTGAGATCCACCTACCCCTATTTTATATATATTACTTTTGGTAAAAA